ACAAAGATCAACCGTCAAGTTTGCTCACGACTGGCCCAAGGCTGTATTGTCATTGAGCCCGTCACCGGTAAAGTGAACCATGGCCACATGTGCACAGGCTTTGGAACGTTATACGCAATCTCATCGAGGTGGGAAAGGCCCGTCACGATATGAATCCGGACAGCCATCACATCTTCTATTGGGGCATCTACGCATGCCAATAGCATTTCGTTTCCAAATCTAGAATTTTATGCCATGTCTTGTCTCCCAACAACGTTTTGCTCGGTCATTATCGGCCCCGATGTCGCCGCCAGAGCATCGGCCAGTGGGGATACACGCTGTTCCGCACTTCGTACCTGCCATTGGCCATTGATTCAAACCTCGGCGGTTCTGGCTCTGCTGACGATCAAAACGTGCCGTGGTAATTCTTACATCACGGCCCCATAGCTGTTCAACGCCACCCCTCCATCTTGTTGAATTCCCAAGGACGCCCATTGTTTTTCCATTCTTGTCAATATTTAAGCTTATTTTCTCGTTGCTGGCTTAGTGCTTGATCCCCCTCCCTCTGTAGGCTCAGCTGCCTCTTGATTCTACCCCGCTTGTTCGCAACCAAAGACGGCAGGCCAATATGACATTAACCGTTCTTACAGACAGCCAGGTCAATGACATCCTCGAGAGCCTTACAATTGACGAGCTGGATGATTTTCGACATGTCTTGTCATCTGCCTTGCACGAGTTCTCTACCGGCACCGATGCTGGCGATGGCGATGTCTACCAACAACCCCACAGAATCACAACGCTTCACCCTGGGACCAAGGCCACCTCTCTATACATGCCATCTTGCGGACCGGAGGGTATGGGATGCAAGAGTAAGTGGATTCGCAATCCTGACCGGCCTCTGAGAACACCATGGCGTAGCCTGGTCACTAATACTCCTGTAGTTGTCTCGTTGACTTCCTCAGCCGCCACTCAGGATCCCACAGTGAAGCCTATTAGTCCTACTGGAGTCGTCAACTTATTCCACCCTGATGGGAGTCCCATGGGCCTTGTCCATGCGAGCACTCTGACGGCCTTTCGCACCGCTCTTGGATCAGCCTGTCTCCTTACCCGCCGCAACCATGTCAAGACTCTCACCGTCTTTGGCAGTGGCAGTCAAGCTTATTGGCACGTTCGCCTGGCACTCCTCATGCGTGGAAGCACTATCAAACATGTACACATTATCAATCGAAGATTTTCCGACAGTGCTGGCCTGATTCTCAAGAAATTCACCATCATCCCCGCGGACATCAAGGAGCGGGAAGGATGGGCACACACGAAATTTAGTATTATAACACCAACCTTTCACGACTTTGAACGGCTCCAGAAGGAGCAGATCCGCAGCGCAGACGTTATTTATTGCTGCACTCCGTCGCGACAAGAACTGTTTGACGCATCTATTCTAACCTCACACGAAGGTCGCAAAAAGGGCCGACTTATCGTCGCTGTTGGAAGCTACACCCCTGAGATGAGAGAGCTTCCCGAGGGCCTTTTGCATCTTGTGACAAAGCCCCATGAGAAGCACCATCGTCATTTTCATAAGCACGCAGACGAGGGCGGCGTCATCGTGGTAGATACCCTCGAGGGGGTGTTGAAGGAAGCGGGCGAAATCATTTCTGCTAAAATCAGCCCCCATCAAATGGTCGAGTACGCACTCCCTGTATATAAATACCGTCTTGAGAATGTATGACTGACTCGATTACAGACTTGGCGAACTCGTCATGCTTCACCGTCTGGCTATCGAGGAATCAGAGACAGATACTACTGGCACTCAGACGCCGGCGTCTTCGGAATATGAAATCCCCCTAAACGGTGACGACAAGATCCCTTCGATGTCATCAGTCTACAGCGATCCAGTACCCCGGCCAGCGAGCCCATCTAGTCCCAGCTTGTCCAACCATTCCCGCAAGCCAAGCTTCCCACTTCCTTTCCGAACTCGTTCCGGAGGCTCGGCTGATACGGAGAAGAAAAAGGAGGATAGCCTGGCCCGTTGGCTGAGAGATGGAACCGTAGTCTACAAGAGTGTGGGATTGGGGCTGATGGATCTGGTAGTTGGCATGCATGTGATCAAGGTGGCCAGCGAGAAGAAGATTGGTACGCAGATTGAAGGATTTTAGAGGCCAGTTCCATGTGAGGGTGTGCGTGCGTGCGAATGATGTATGGGGAACAATAAGGACAGACTACGCACCAATTGCGTGACAGACGAATCTACAGTTAGCGCTGGCATATTCAACGACATTGTTATGCGAGTCTTTAAAAAACCACGCAATTTTCGTGAAATACGATATTCTATTCATACATGGCACAATAACAGTTTGTTATGCGCATTTCATCAAGGGTGACTCGGTCTGTCTGTAGCCGAATTTCACACCACTGCCTAATCCCAGTGTCCCGTAGGACTAAAGTGTATATATGCTCTCCAAATTCGATATCCCAAATGAACAGATCCATTTTATATTTCAAGCCGTGTCAAGATAAAAAAAAGTTTTTTTTTTTACTCGGCGACCCAGACGGCGGCCATGCCCATACCAGTGCCGACACACATGCTAGTGCTGCCGACCTTCTTGCCCGTTCGCTTCAGCTCGTAAAGGAGAGTAGAAACCTGGCGGGCACCGGTGCAGCCCAGAGGGTGGCCGAAAGCAATGGCACCGCCCTTGGGGTTGATCTTTTCGTGGGGGATCTGGAGCTCATTGGCGCACCAGAGGCACTGACTGGCAAAGGCCTCGTTGATCTCGTAGATGTCGACATCGTCCTTGGAGATGCCGGCGAGGTCGAGGGCCTTGGGGATGGCCTTCCAGGGACCCTGGCCCATGAGCAGCGGCTTGACGCCGACGACGGCTCCGGCGACGTACTTGCCGATGATGGTCTGGCCGAGCTTCTCGGCGGTGGATCGTCTCATGAGGAGGACGGCGGCGGCGCCGTCGGAGATCTGGGAGGCATTACCGGCGTGGATGCTGCCGTCGGCGGCGAAGGCAGGCTTGATCTTGGCGAGGGACTCGGCCGTGATGCCGTCGCGGACACCGTCATCGCGGGCGACAGTGATTTCCTTGGTCTCGCCAGACTTGGGGTCCTCGAACTTGACCTTGAGGGGAACAATCTCGTCGTTGAAGAGACCCTCCTTCTGGGCCTTGACGGCCTTCTGGTACGAGGAGGCGGCGAACTTGTCCTGGTCGGCACGAGCAATCTTGAGGTCCTTGGCCATGTCCTCGGACAGAACGCCCATGGGGACCTTGCAGTTGGCTGACTCCTCGTTGGCCTCCAAAGCCTCGGAGAATTCGCTGACGGCAGAGGGGCTAAGAGTGTTGAATTGTCAACACGGGAACGAATTTCGGACATGAAACAAAGAGGCTAGGCCGGGTTCAGCGTGAAGCCGTTTGAAAAGCTTACCCATAGTTCAGAGACATGCTCTCGACGCCGGCACCAATACCAACGTCAATCATGCCCGCCTTGATCTGGTTGGCAACGTCAATGCAGGCCTGAAGACCGGATGAGCACTGGCGGTTGAGGGTTCGGACGGCAGTGGTCTCGGGGAAGCCGGCCAACAAACTGGCGGCGCGCATCTCGGTAGCACCACCGCCGGGGGCGAGGACGGTTCCGACGGCGATATCCTCAACGAGGGCGGGGTTGATCTTTGATCGGTCGATGACGGCCTTGAAAACACCAGCCATGATGTCGGCGGCCTGGGTGTCCTTGAAGCCACCTTTGCCACCCTTGGTGAAGGCGCTTCGGCAAGCAGCAGTGACGACAACCTGCAAGACTATAGTCAGCTCCAAACGTCCCGCCCAGCTCCCCGCAAGGGAAAACGTAGTGTTGAGCATGACTTACATCGTCGGGGCGCTTCTCCAGGATTCTGTCGCGACCGCCGGCGGTAGGGTTGCCAGAGATCTGGCCGCCGATCTGAGAAATTCTGTCAAGGGCTGTTGAGCACAACGAAGCTGTTAGAGTCTGTATTTTTTTCGAACCGCACAACCACGGCGAGGCTTGAAGCTGGTTTACTCACCACCCATTTTGGCTCTTGTGGGATGTGAAGGAGGTATAGGAAGAAGAGGAGATGAAGGCGGGAATCAAGAGGTGAGAGATGTGGTGTGGGCGACGACGGGCTACGACGCTGCGATTTGCGGGAGGCGAAGCTATATATCCGTCCTTGGCAAGGTCAATCGGTTGACCTCGGCGAGAACGACGACATGGCGGTCGGTCGGCGCATCTCTGATGTCAGCTGGTTGCGCGACCGAGGCATATGTCAACGTGGGTCCTGGCCTCAGATCAAGAAGCCACATTTTAGTGTCCTTCCATGTCGCTTTCACATGTTCGAGTTGCCCCATGACATATGGAATCTGGCCAAAGAATTTCCGTTGCCGTGCCCGTCACGAGGCGGCCCCAGATTCCACATTAGAGCGTGCGCTCCGGTTGTGTAGTCGCTGACGGACATACTGCCGCTTCGAGAAGAAATTCCACTGAGGTCGACGTCCGATTGTTCCACGTGTTTCATGATCCATCACAAGCAATTCTTTCTGCATTGTATAATTTCCTCCCGTCATGGCCGCGCCTTTGTTGTAAATTCCGTGACCCGTGGAGTCCGTGACTGGGCTTGGGCAACGTCGACACGGTTGCCTTCAGTTGTGATTCGCTATCACTCCAGTGGTACTGCTTGCTGGGCGGTATTGATTACTTGACCATGCCGGTGGCAATTAATGCCGAGAGCGTCTGGCCATTCGTGCACCTCCAGCCTACGCTTGAATACATGCACGTGCCAGGCGGAACTGCAGGCTGCCGATGTTCACATATATTGTCAATTTTTCCTAGATGCATTCGATATATATAGTCAGTCCTGGTCGTCGATTACCTGTCGTAATGCCTTGGCCAGACGACACACACGCTTCTTCAACTTCCTCATACCCAACCAACGCCTCATCGCCGCTTCGTCGCCGCTCGCAATGCTCCTCAAACACCACTGTGATTTCACAACTCCTACGTCCATGTGCATCCTACGCCTTGCTCTGCCTGGAACCACTCTCTACAGTTTTATCATCAGGTGAAAAGTTGAGACTGACGCTGTTGACACAGTGTCGCTCATCCGTCGGCGTTGCGAACCCCTCGCCCTTGAAAACATGACCAAGGTGACCACCGCAATTGGAGCAGACAATTTCCGTCCTAGTCATGCCTAGAGTTCGATCCTCGTGTCTTGTAACTGCGCCAGGGATGCTATCAAAGTAGGCCGGCCATCCGCAGCCAGACTTGAATTTGTGATTGGCCTTGTAGAGGGGCTTGTGGCACCCAGCACAAGTGTAGACTCCCTCTTCCGGGTAATGCTTGTCGAACTTTCCGGATCCAGGAGGCTCAGTGCCCTTTTCTCGCAGGATGCGAAATTGCTCTGTGGGCTGATGTTAGTGGGAAACCCCGAATATCTTTCTTTTGCTCTCACGCGCCGACATCAACGTACCTTTGTTGAGGACGGCCTGCCACTCGGTATCAGACCTTTGATCAGGATACGACATTTTGGTCGATTTTGAAGAAGATGATCCGAACAAGGCGCCCAAAAAGGGAATACCAGACATGGATCGAAGAGGCAGCGGGCGAAGCGTGGCGATGTGAGCTGGTGACGCCGGAGCTCGGATGCGAGTAAAGTTGGACAAGGTATGCAGTAATGTTGATACGAATGGTCTAAATCGCATGGGAGACATGTAGCGGGGCGGGAGATGTTGGAGAGATGTCGGAGAGACGGCTTGATGCGATGGCAGTACTCTTATAGTTGACTGAACAGAGTGAACGTTGAGACGGTCGTTGACGGTGACAGGGATGCCAAGAAGAGCGTTTGACAAATCGCGGGGTGGCCAAGTGTAGTCTGTAGAACCCGGCTTGTTGAACTTTGTACGGCAGCTTTGGAATCACTTGCATCATAATTCGAAGCCCACATATTCCAGACAAGGGCCGGGCTTCAGCCACAATTTAAGGTTCACCACGGAGTACGGAGTACCGAGAGGTAATAAGGACATACAACAGGCAAACCATCCTTCCCCCACGGACCACTGCCTGCAGTTGAACTACTCCGTGCAAATTAATGTCCTGCAGACTACGATAAGGAGCATCATGCCATGGTGGAAAGTGAATCGCAGCCTCGAGGTTCAATTGCATTAAAAGAAGCGGAATTTCTGGACCATTTGTCCTTGCTACAACCAGAAACATTGACATGGAATCCATCATTGGAGCCGATTGGTGCCTGAGGAACTATGTATATCGACTCAGTCGCCTTGGCTACATGTACTGGTACTTGACCTGCTACAATAGATTTAGGCCACGCTGTGGCTCGCTCCCCACACTGCTAGACTTACCCCAATCAGTTTGGGGGTGGGAGCAATTTCATTCTGGAATTAGGTGCCGCCACGACAGACACACAAACGACCCCATTCCTCCTTTTGTGTTTGACATCTGTAATAATCTCCCTTCCTCGCGGCGGCGATTATCTGGCTCCGTCTACCATTCCACACCATCCGTCATTGTCTCGACAGAAGAGTCGTAGCGTTACAACATGTCTCGACGGGCACCAAACCCCTCCGCCGACCGGGCGGCGCAAAACCAGGCCACTATCAAAAACCTCCTGAGGTTGGAGCCTAACAAAGTGTGTGCTGACTGCAAGAAAAACAAGCGTGCGTATCAGACCCTATCGATGCCTTTCTCCATCATACTGTGTGTGGGCTGACTGTTACTTCAGATCCTAGATGGGCCAGCTGGAATCTGGGTGTCTTTGTCTGTATTCGATGCTCTGGTATTCACCGAGGCATGGGAACCCACATCAGCAGAGTCAAGTCTGTTGATCTCGATTCATGGACCGACGAACAAATGCAGAGCATATTGAGCTGGGGAAACGCCCGCGCCAACAAATACTGGGAGGCCAAACTTGCTGCTGGCCACGCGCCGTCCGAAGCCAAGATCGAGAACTTCATCCGAACCAAATATGAACTGAAGCGATGGGTCATGGACGGGCCCATGCCAGACCCTTCAACTCTGGATGTCGACGGCGATGACGATGTTCCCTTGAGTTTGGTTAAGGAGAAGCAGGTTATCGAGAAGAAGGAGTCGATCAGGAAGGCATCCATCGGGAAATCTCACGCCCCGCAACAAATTCGCGCGCCCGAGGCCGACTTGATCGGAGGTGACGATGGGCCTCCCTCGCGATCAAGTACGGCTGGCCCCCCGGTTGCGAAAATTGCACCTAAAGCTGAGCCTGCGGCCCCTAAAACAACCAACACACGAGACTCGTTGCTTGGCCTTGACTTCCTGGGAGGCTCAACTGCCCCTCCTCGCCCAGCCAGCACCCCCGGAGCTTCTTCACAAGGAGCAAAATCACGACCGGACCTCAAGCAGTCTATTCTCTCGCTCTATGCTTCCGCGCCCAAGCCCCAGCCCCAGCAACAACCTCAGCAACAAGCGTTTGGGGGCATGGGCCACCAGCAGCAAGGCTCAATGGGAGGCTTCAATGATGCCTTCGGTGGCCTGAATCTATCGGCCACGGCAAGCGCAAAGCCCGCTGCTGCCGACCCTTTTGCCAGCCTTGGAAGCACATCCTCAAGCAATCGAGCCAAACCCCAGCATACTTCTAACGCCAGTCCGTTCGGTGGTCTTAGTGGAGGCGGCTTCTTTGACCCAAAGCCTGTCCAGCCGTCGACCACTTCGCATCAGCAAAAGCCTTCCAACTCTGGATTCGAAGGCTTTTCTCCTTTCTCCTCCCCCCCTACTCAGACAGCTACGGCGCCGGCGCCTAAGCCCTTACAGTCCTCATCCTCCGCCATGGACGACCTCTTCGACTTTTCGGCTCCAACCACGCAGAGATCTCCCCCGCTGCCTCAGACTTCTTCACCCTCTGCAACGACCAACTCTGCTTTCATGATATCTTCTCCACAGACTAAATCTGCGGCCCCCGCTCCTGCAACAACCTCATCAGCCTTTGGCTCCGCTGCCATGTCTGGTGCTGATGTCTGGGGAACCAACGATTGGACAACGCCTGCTCCTGCTGCTCCAACAGCTCCGGTGACACAGGCACCCCCAAGTCCTCAGCAGCTCAAGGCCCCAGCCCCGGCCCCGGCCCCGGCAGCCGATTTCGGATGGGGAAATACTAGTTCTTCGTTTGCCAGTACACCAATTGTGCCTGGCGCCAGTGGGGGTTTCAATCCTGCACCAAAGGTTACTGCAGACGAGGAGTTTGGAGGCTGGGCAAGCAGTACTGCGCCGTCTAATACGGGAAAACCTGCTGTTCCAAAGTCAGGCTTTGGCGGTGACGATGATCTGTTCTCCAATGTCTGGCAGTAGACGACGCTGCGACGAAATACAATGTCGGTTGGTAGTGATTGGTGGATTCTTCAAGCATTAGGGATCGAAGGCAAGCATGTTCGTGGCGTTTTGTTGTTCACGCGTCGGGAGTCTATTTAGAATCCAGCATAAAACCAAAGGGGGGGTTGGAGGTGGGTTTTAGAATGTTTTCTGTTTTTTTTTTTTTTTTAAAAAAAAAAGTCCAGAGAAACACGCCGTTTGCAGTGACGATTGTGGTGATCAACAAATGCTCTCAAGTATAGTTGCTTAGGCTAATATATAAAACCCTTTGTCAAAAACGCCAACTCCAAATGCCAAGGGTAATTGATCCCCGTTTCCAATGCCGTTGAAATACAAAATCCAACGTTTATATGATATCGCCGCACCCGCATGGCACCGCATGGCACCCAGCCAGCGGGCCATTATCGCGCCTGCTAGCTGATCCGATGGACCGCATGGTCTGTAGCTATCTACGGGGTCTGGTATTGACGGCTGGCCCCGGGAGACAAAATACTAACTTTCACTGCCAACACGGCACCGCCCTGGAAGCCCTACATGTGGCTGCTTCGCTCGAGTCAGCATTTCGCGTACGTCATTGCCCTCTGTCGTAGGGTGTGCGCTCACAACACCAGTTTCAAGCCGTAATAAAAGACTAGAAATATCGCGACAATGATGGCTGATAGCTTGAAGATGGCGACCTTGTTGCCGGACGCTGCCATCCTCGTCATTCTTCCTGCTCCGGTTTTTATCTGCGACGTCATGCTTGAAAATGTTTCATTCTGGAGGCTCGTTAGATGTGCTTCAAGATGGGTTCGGGTCCCTCTTCTTTGGGGGAGCGTGAGGCAGGAGCCATACTGTGTTGTCAATGACATCCTGGGCACGTGCATGATCGTAGATGTCGATGGTGACGCCGCGCAGGGCAGATACTTTGGCGGAAAGCTCGTTTAGGCGGGAGTCGTTTTGCCTTTCGCGCTCGTAGGCCTCGGACATGGTGTGAGTTATATGATACCAATGGGTATGCGGACCTGGGGATGGAGGGTCTTGCCGAGGCTGGGACGGGGTTCGTGAGACGAGGTTGGCCTGCACTGCCGTCGCTCGGCGTCGGTGGTCGGCGCTTCGTAGGGCAGTGGACGGTGTAGGGAAATTTCCAACGTGAGGGATGGCTGAGGACTGTGTTGTTGGTGGGTGCTGGCGTGGAGTAGTTGGGATTGATTGATACAGTTTCTTGGTTGTCTGTGGAGTGGTAAGGGGCCAAGAGACGGTTGCGGATCTGGTCTCAGTGGTTTGTTCGATGACGCTCCGGCCGCGGCTGCCAGGGTCTCAAATGCAATTGACGGGTGACAGAGCACAGCCACACACGCCACGCGGCGTGGCGGCAGGGCGGCTGGCTTCAAAGTTCAAGGACAGAAGGACAGAGAGGCACGACGATGTTTATTTGGAGTGGGATAAATACTAACAGCAAAAGAGCAGAATATTGCTCTCAGAGGGAGTGCATCTGTAGATGGATATCAACGCTGCGCTGGCTCGGCCCCGACGAGGGGAGAGCTCCTGCGTCGTCGGAGCTGTCGGAGCTGGCACTCAGTATGTAGTACGGAGTACCACAGCAGCAATAAACGATATTCGTGGTGGATCAAGACTGGTGAGGAAGGCGCCTGGAGATGGCAGTGCTCGACTTGCTGGTGCTACGAACTACGGGGTACGGCGGACTAACTGACTCCTCCCGGGCCACATGTCGACGGTGCACCTTCCCGGCTGCAAAGCAGTCACTGCTTGGCGTATGTATTAGTACGCCCAGCGCTGACCTTGTCGTCAGCCCCCCGCCACCCCGCCCCAAGTAGCTCTCCATCCACAGACCACAACCCGTCCACTGACAGTCACATCATCAGTTCCCAATCCTCGTCGCCCTCTCTTGGCTCCCTCGCATCTTCATTCCCATCGCGCCATTTCTCTCGGCCAAGCGCTTCCCAAATCTCCTGTACTGAACGGAAGATTCGCGAGGAGATAGACCACCATGGGAATCAACAACCCTCTCCCTGCATCTCTGAAATGTGAGTTACCGGATCCATCTCGTTGTTTTAATACCCGGCCGGTGCTGGCATGCCGGAACATCGGACCATCCTGCTAACCGTCGCTGCTTTCTTTCAACGATAGCGGAGTGTAGGAAGTGCGGCAAGATCCTCACTTCATTTGTCAACCCGCGACAAGCCTTTGGCCCCGACAAAGTTATTCCGCCGTCAATCCTGTCCAATGCGAAAGGCTTCGCCATCATCACTATTCTGAAGGCTGGTTTTCTAGGGTCTGGCCGTGTTGGCAGTGGTCTTGTTGTCGCTCGCCTTGCTGACGGGTCATGGAGTGCTCCCAGTGCTATTGCAGCGGCTGGAGGTGGCTTTGGAGGCCAAATCGGCTTTGAACTGACCGACTTCGTCTTCGTACTCAACGATTCAAATGCCGTCAAGACGTTTGCACAGATGGGGTCCATCACACTGGGCGGAAACGTATCACTCGCCGCGGGCCCGGTAGGTCGCAACGCCGAAGCTGCTGGTGCTGCGTCTCTCAAGAGCGTGGGGGGTATTTTCAGTTACTCCAAGACCAAGGGCTTATTCGCTGGCGTCTCGCTCGAAGGGATGGCCATTATCGAGCGCCGCGACGCAAACGAGAAGCTGTATGGGACCAGATTCACGGCCCAACAGCTGCTGAGCGGGGCTGTTCCTCCTCCACCCGCGGCCGACTCCCTCATGTCTGTTCTGAACTCCAGAGTGTTTAGCGGCATGCGAGCTGGCTCCGTGACTGACGACGCCATGTACAACGATATGCCCGTGTACGAAGATCGCCATGACGATGTGGTATGGGAGGGGCGCAGAGGAGATGCCTATGGCCAGGGAGTTCAGCGAGATCGCACAGGATCCGGGTTTGGACAAGGTGAATTCGGCAGACCAAGTCGATCCAGCACGTGGAAGGACGACGTTTACGACCGACAAGATTTTAACCCACCGTCACGATCGAATACATTCGCATCGGGCCAAGGATACAACGATTCAAATGGTGGGGCCAACGAGAAGAGGGTTGGCCCAGGCAGGCCTACAGCCCCGAAGCCCAAGTTCGGTGCCGATAAGGAAGCCTCTTTGAAGAAGAACGAAGCTATCGCGTTGTTCAACTTTGACGCAGACCAGCCTGGAGATTTAGGATTCAAGAAGGGTGAAATCATCACTGTGTTGAAGAAGACTGACAGCGACAACGATTGGTGGTATGTAGACATGTCGCGTGCGTTGTTTCCTTGCATGACAATGTGTGCTAACTAAAATTGTAGGACTGGCATGATTGGGACGAGACATGGCATATTCCCCAGCAACTATGTCAAGATGAAGTGATGAGATTAGCCTGAACTCATGCCTAGTTAGCGAGCCACTGAACCGATTTATGAACGCTCGAGCTATACCCTTGGAGCGGGAGCGTACGGGTGGGGTTTGACGACACTTTCTCTTTTGTTGCATTTCGATACTGTGACACGGGTAGTCTTATCAATGTCTCCTTTTACTTTTCACACTTTATTTTGCATTGTATTCGGACGGGGGAAGACTGACTGATTGCGGGTTTTGGTTCTTGCGGGGTCGTTTGACGAGCGATTCTTGGGTCTTAGAGAAGAGATATCCCTAGGTCTAGTTTCCAATTTTTACTCAATCCCAAAGCGAGAACGACATGTTCAAAATCGCATGTGGACGCCAACGTGTGTTTGGAAGTGCGACGTGTTTTTCAAGGCAAGGAGCCGATTTGGCCGCACCGCCTTGGCGCGTTTTTGCTCAGCACTACTCCGTGCCCTGGTAGCTACCTATATAGCTAGCAAATCAGGGCTCGCAGAAAGCCGCCGAGGCGGAGGTGCACAGATAGCAAACGCACATTGCTTTGAGACATGGGACGAAGCCGCCAAATTGGCCCACATGCGCATAGCATATGCGCCATCGAGACTGATGGAGGTATGTGAGAGAGAATACCTGGCGGGACAACGACGTATTATAAAGCCTCTCATGCGTGGTATTCCTTTCAGAATATCGGTGGGTGCTGTAGTTATTATATTGTGAAAGAAGAAACGCAATTGACGTTGGAGTAGGCTCCCATTGTGCTTTCCCGGTGCAACATAATATTACGCGAGCCAACCGCAACGCCCTGCACAGCGGCCTCGGACGACGTATCGACGACTTCTGCCCGGAGACCTGGGTCTTCTGTGCCGTCGTCAACTGGTCGGAGAGAAAAGTCGGATCGTTGGACTAGCGCTTCCGTGGGGCGGGATCGACAGTGGAGTAATGAAACTAGGAGAAGCAAGCATCATTTGCCGGGTAGAACCTAGGCCGGTACGGAGTAGCTCTTCGCGCAATCAGAGGCCTTCTTGAGCCACTAATAATAGCATCTTTCGTCAGCATACGTATCTGCGTATGTATGTACAATTCATGCATGGAGTACGGAAGAAGGAGTTATCTGGGCATCGGGAGGCTGGGACAAGCGGGTTAGTGGGGAACATTGAAGGAGTTTGGCGGCTCAGGATGGAGACTCGAGGCAGGCTGGGCATGTCACTGCGGGGAGGGGAACAAGCTTCGGCGATGCTACCCTGTGATTGGCCAAGCAGGTACTCCGTACTGTACTCTGTACATAGAATATGATGATGGGAAGTCTGAGAGCTGACGGAACGGCTCCCAAGATAACCAGCAACACCAAACGGCGCACGACTGCGGCAGACGCCAGCTTAAAAGTGTCCGGTCCAAGCGGAAAGCTGCAAGTGCTCCAGATGCCAATTATTTAAAACCCACACTCCTTTTTGTCCATGGGTGGTGGGCTACTCCATACTTGACAAGCGGGTCGCACATCACGATTCACCAGCATCGGGATCCGTGCTGGTGCTCACTGCTCACGGAGTCACGGCCAGGGTTGGTCTTCAGACAAACAACAGACGCTGGGAGGGGGGGCACAGTCAATTCTCTGTACTCGGTACAGAGAACGCCAATTTGTCACGCCTGCTTCCTCACACTGCCACAGTCCTGACTCCTGCTTCTATCCCGATTCCCGACCACGTCCTTTCGACCTGAGGTCCTCGGCAACATCTCGATTGCAGCAACCAACGTTGGCTGCACGGCACCGCCTCTCTCCATGGAGAAGCGACTCCCAATCTTGCTGCCATCCCCCTCAACCGTCATCATCCACAGCGGCAAGAACAATGACAAGTTCTCAATCGTTCGCCAAAAACGTCGACAGGTAGCCTCTGCCTGTGCCAATTGTCGCAAGCGCAAAGAAAAGTGTGATGACAAGAGGCCGACATGCGGCGCCTGTGCCCGCAGAGGAGTCACTTGTAACAATGACATCAAGGAGGACGAGCCGGCCGGTACTGTGGCCTTGAGACATCGCAACATTTCTCTCAGACAGGAGAACGACCAGTTGCGTGAGCTTTTCAAGCTGTTGCATAAGCTGCCGACCGAGGAAGGACAGGAAGTCGTTTCGAGATTAAAGATTGCCGATGACCCTATCCAAGTGTTGCGGTCTGTCCAGGACGCCAGCCTGCTGATTAATAACCCCAATTCATCCTCTTATTCGGCTCTGTTGGATTCGAGACTGGAAAGATTGGACCTCCTTGCGTTGCGGGAAAGCGCCATTCGGGTTGATGCAAAGCCGTGGACCGCAGTGGCCGGCGATGGCATAGTGTCGGAGCTCGTCTCATCGTTTTTCAACTGGGACGATGCCTTTTACTTGCCATTTCTTGACCGGGAGGCGTTTCTGGAAGACATGAGGGCCGGAAATGTTGCGACGGCCAAGTATTGCACACCGTTCCTTGTCAATGCCATATGTGCAGACAGGTCTGTAAGTATTCAATCTCGACTGTGTTATCCCTGGGGGAACCTGTATAACAGATTTCTAACTGTTCCTGGGTGCTGCAGTATACTTGTCGGCGAACTAGAGCGTTCAGCGGTATCAGCAAGAAGAATTTAGCTGACGAGTTCTTCAATGAGGCCAAGAAGTTGCTGCATCTTGAGAATGGCCGAGTCTCTATCCCGACGGTCCAGGGTCTTACGTTACTCTTCTCCATAGCTTGTTATCGAGGCACTGATAAACTTGGTGGTGTAAGTGGACTCGGGGGGACCTGCTACGGTGTTTAGGCGCAATTCAGCGACAATATGTTTCTTGCTCATCCTTTCATCGAGAAAAGAAATCTTCACACCCTGCAACGACGTACTAACATCCGAGCTAGTTATATCGTCGGTCGGCATATGACATGTTTCACCAACTCAATGTCGATGCCATGTATGCGAGAATCAAAGACGATCCTCTAGCCGCCCGTGAGAGACGGGTCCTGTGCCGCCTGGCATGGGGGCTTTTTCTGTTTGAGAGGTTTGTCTCAGCTCTGACGCCTGCCATTTCTTCAGCTGTGCTACCGTAAGTTGACGGGCTAACAATCGACAGCATCGTCGGATACATGTATTTGCAACAGTCGTTGATCCCACCGCCTCAAATCCCGCGATGCTTCGATCCACCACCCTCTGCAAAAGATGGACCAGTACCTAACATCGACCTCCTTGGTAACCCGCACTCCAGCGAGAGTCGATCGCCCCCATTTGTCACCGGCGCATTGTATCTAGCTTGCGATATAACCGTTATGCTCTACGAATCAATGGACTGGAATTTTAGGTCGGAAAGCATATGGGGCACGGAGCAGGACCTCGAGAGACGTAGAGATATGATTGACGAGGTACGCCAGTGGAGAGCAAGTTTGCCTCCAAACTTGCGAGATGACACCAACTTTACCCCCCAGACATGCTATCTTCGGTACAAGACGTTCCAACCCTTCCATTTTTTTACATTACATGACCCCCTTGCTAACCAATTGTGCAGGACATACATGAACGAGGTCCTCTTTAGTATCCTTCGACCGCTTTCCCCCCAAACCGAGATTGAGCCCGGCTGGACCGTCAAAGACTTACAGCTCAGCTTCTGCCAAATCGACATCGACAACATGGAGCGCTTCATCGAAGTCTACACCCTCCGCGACTACGCATGCATCAACATTGCCGGGAGCTACAACGCCATCCTCGTCCTGGTATACCACCTGGCTGACCCCTCTGTGCACCACCTGTTTGCCAAAGCAGCCTATCTCATAGGAGAGACCGGGGGGGACTTCCCCATGTGCCGGTATATTCTGCAGGCCATCAAGGCAATTGCCTGGCAGGCGAAGACGTCGCTGCCGCAAATGGCAAAGAGGTACTTTGAGAATCTGGACGGTGCGAGAAACTCGTTTAGGGATATCAGTTTTGCACTGCCCGAGGAAACCGGCAAGAGGATGTTTGCCGGGGGGCCGCGGCCCAGGTTCAAGGGGGACGATATGGGCTCTTTGCTGTTTAAGTGGAGTGCCATGTCTATTGAGTAACCGGATTTTTTTTCTTCTTTTCTTTTCGCCTTTTGGAGGCACAAGATTTTGAGATGATATTTATTAATCAAGGTTCAAGGGGTTCCGATATTCGGACAAGGTTGAGCTGGTAAGGACATTGCACGAGCGATTTGGCAGGAAGTTGTTGTATATTTCTCTCTTAATTTCGGGGAAAAAATCTGTACAGCGATTCTAGAAAAAACAAAACAATGCGCATCATTCCTCATCATGCCTGGCCTGCCACCATGCACTCACCTCGTTGTCCAGATGGAAGCGGATCCCAACCCCTCGGTCCTCTGGTATTGTCCCAAATACATGACGATAAACAAAATCCCACCATGTATGCCGAGCGGGTCTTCCCGTCTAAAGCAGGCACCTACGTCCCCAACCACGAGCAACGGAACATGTTCGCGTCCACGCCAGCTCTTTCCCACGTCCTGCCGGCTTTCGCCAACGCCTCGGTCCAGGTAGAAAGGCGCTGCGCAACGGTACACTTACAGACTGGTTGGGCTAGGAAGGAAATGCCGCCGCCGCCGCCGCGAATCCAGTTCTGCACGTCGGGCTGTAGATGCATACTGCTGCTGGTGACCTCTGCCTTTGGCGTCGTGGGGTGGCAGACACAGACCTCAGCATCGTTCATTGTCCATGCCCACAGGACCATGGCCGCCGCGGAAAGGGCCAGGTACACAATCGGATCGAGGGCGTGCGCCGACTGGCCAGGGTTGATCAGCAGCGATGATTCGTACGCGAACCACGTCTGCAATGACGCGATGGCTGCGGTTCTCCCGTCTGCCGACAGCGCCCATTCTTGTATCTTGAGCACGTTTTGTTGCCACGTCTGCGAGGCGGCCGTGGGCTCCATTTGAAGGGGTGCGGGGGAGAGATAAATTTCTCGCAGGGTGTGGATGTCCGCGTGGAGATGGATCGTGAGCAAGAGTAGAAGCGGCCTGATGTTGGAGATGCACAAGTCCAGTCGGTTCGTCACTTCTTGTCGCCAATTTGGGCCGCGGGAGGGCTCGCCCCCGAGGTAGCTTTTGAGAATCGTGGCCGTGTACCCCCCTGCAACCAGTGGTTTTCGTGACTCGGCGACAATGGTTTCCAGCTGTTCTAGGGCGAGATACAGCTGCTGCGATAGATCAGCCTTTTTCAGCATGGCCATGTCTCGATTGAGCATCGATTCTTTCTTGAGTGACCGGATGTCATTCCACATTCCGAGCAAACATAGCTGAATGTCCTCTGGCAAGATTCCGGAAGGTACTTCTTCGGGGTTTCTCACGTTCAACCGTGACATTTTATAGTTATCGCGAGACCATGGCTCACTGCGGCTGCGGTCGAAGAACACCATGATCCCGTACGAGTTCCACATGGCAAATGTCGATGGTAAGCCCAACTCTAGTTCGTCACGTCGCAGCAAAGGCGGGTGACCGTATAAGAGAGACAAGTAAGTATCTACTTTCAGTGCGCAAGTGGCAATTCTAGGTAGGAAGAAAGTGTGAGCCTCAACGAAATTTCCTATGGTGACTTGGATTCATACCTCTTCCAGCGCTCAGTCGTTCCAAATATAAATGGCTTGAAGTCTCCGGGATGATGTGTCAGTCGCTGAGATTCAATAGCGTCTCCGTGCAAGCAGCCATTCATTCGTAGAGCCGTAACAAGCAGGCTAAATAGCATGCGAGATTGCCTGATAGTATTGTCTCTCTGCAGCATTATTAGTGATTAGGTCGAGGAATATGAGTGTAGCGAGAAGAAAGGGGGAGGGGGGGGCCACGTATATGTCCACAACGTATCTCGCTATGTAGCCGAAAGATATTACGATAAACCAGCGCGCATATACTCGGCCAAGAGTCAAGCAGTAGCGCGCTGGCCAGGAAGAGAGAAAATAGGGGGGAGAGGTGTATGAGAAACAAACAAGACATACAACACTTACTCCTGTCTCGAAGGCGAAAATAACATTGAGAAGCGAAAGCTGATAGAGGTTGGCTGGCCATGGATGTGTGGGGTCTAGATCGGATTGATTCTGAAGCGTGTTAGAGTACGAGGCTCAAGATGCACATGCACAGGCAGTTTGCCATATTCCTTACCAATTCCTTGTGAAGCTGCCGAACAAGGCAGTCATGAATCTGTAAAATTTGATCCTTCAATTTGACATCGCCATGCAGCCAAGAGTCAATCATGATAATTGTCGAGATAAGTTGGACAGAGTCTGTTATCTCATTAATCACTGGGGCGTGAAGAACTGGCCATCGTGTGTGGAACGTCGCCAAGTAAGATTCGATGCGGGCTGTCAGCCATAGTCGTGGGATTGCCTGGGACTCAGAAGGAGATCCTGGCGGCTGCTTTGTGAGAACTCTGAACAAAATGTTGAGACCTGCCGATCTACTAAAGTTTAGCTGTTGGCTTGCGTCGTGATCTTCGGTCTCTTCTATTTGAAGCAGGAAAGGCGCCTCTAGTGTCAGCAGCTCGGGAGAGCCTGAGCTTGGTGAAGAGTTGGAGCCTCCATCACTCGACATGACGGAGAGTGGCTCAGCCTGGGCGAAGCCATTTTTCTTGTGCGGTTCGAGGTTCCCTCGATTATACGTGCAAGCAACGCCTCTCTTGACACACAAGGAACACTGCACGCCCCCACTACATCTCGTCTTGTTGGCATGGCAGGTATCACAAGCTCTGTCCCTGCGAGGCTCGTGTGACGCGGTTGCGCTATCATGGAGAGTAGCGTGTCGACGAAGCAGGTCACTAAGGACTCATTAGCCTGGACCCCATTCCGCCTTCTGCGGTCAAACAGTACCTTCGCGTAAAAGACCGGCCACAAACTTCGCACCGAAACGACCTGCCGGTATGTGAAGCTTGGTGTCTCCGCAGGTGTTCCTTGCGGATGAAAGACTTGCCGCAATGACAAATGTGTCGGCTGGGAGTGGTATCTGCCATGTGCCCGAGGGGGCCCGAGACAGACCTCAAGTAAGCCTTTAAAAATGGGGGATGCTGAGAACGTCTGTTCTTGGTTCAATGTGGCTGGTCCTCTCCACGATGTCTCTCCCACCGGGCGGCTGTGCTGCAGGAGAGTGAGCCGAAATGTAAATCAGATGCAGATTTGACGTCGATATGTGGAGATTGACAGCACAAGTCTGGCTGCGTGCGTCTAAAATCTGACAGTTAGCAACGTGTATCAATGGCCAAGGCTTCTGATCACTGGCTTTATCCCATGCGGTCTCGGTTTGGCGTTGGGAGCGATGAAGGGTACATCTCGCCGGCGGTTTCGGCAGCTATTCTTACCAATTGAAATGAATTTTTATTCAGGGCTGGAAATATTTCTCCTCCGGTAATTGTCTTGGGTGAATTGCATCACCGGGTGTAATACTACACAATATATTGAATTGAACAACATCGCGAGAACAAGAATAACACGATGAACTGACAGCTCGACTGCCGATGTAGTTGACAAAGTCGGCAAGAAAGTGGGATGGGATTCGCACGCAAAAAGATGATCTGGCCGACCATTAGAAATCCGAACCCTTATGCGCTCACGCCGAATGTATGACTAGTGTGCGAAACAGACGGCTAATTAGGGGCCAGATCCAATAGATGGACCCTACCCGTGAATTCATGATGCGAAATAAAATTAGGAGCGGTTTTTCAAACGGCCAAGAACGCTAGTTCTGATTCGGCAAAATGACAAGTCAGGCCATCTCCCAGACTCAACTCAACTTCTATACCATCAATACGGATTGTAACTAGAGACATAACCACAAGAGTAGCAGGGCTGAAGGGGTAGTCAATGCATCTATTATGGCGAGTTGGAAACCGAAACAACGGCATTTTCCTGCAGCAATTAGACGAGACATTTCGAGATGCAGTTTGTCTTGAGACTACTAGTACTTTAGGCATGTGGGATATACTTCCTGATTAGGCATAGCTCTTTCATTTATCTTTTTTTTTTTAAAAAAAAATTGACCCTGAGTTGTGACTGCTTATTTTGTTACAAATGCATGGTCTCGGCATCCCACTCTGGATCTTTAGCAAACCATAAGCCTTGACCCAAGCCTGACGTGACACTTTGACAATCCCACTTGGTTGTCATAGGTCATCTCAACGCCGTGGAATCCGATGTCGTGATACTTGGCCATGGCGATGCAATGTTGTATCGATTCAAATGTGGGATGTTCTCGAATCTGGAAATGGGTATATATAATTTGGTTGCAGCGCTGCTGTGCATCAGTTTTTTGCCAGCCGTCGCAAAACACACAGGACACATTTGATTCAATACACAACACCTGATACACTGCATATCCCCAAACAAGGGCACCTCTCGCGTTACAAAAATCCAAGTCACCATAATATTCAATATCCATTAGTCAACAATGTCGGCTATTAAGAACGTCACCATTGTCGGCGCTGCGGGCAACCTTGGCGCAACGGTGTTCAAGACGCTCGTCGATTCGGGCAAGTTCAACGTCCAGGTTCTGAGACGGCCGAATTCCACGACTCAGTACCCTGCCGGCACAAAAGTCGTCGAGGCCGACTTCTCATCAGTCGACGCTCTCGCTACAGCACTCGAGGGCCAAGATGCCGTCATTGCGCTTTTGGGGCCAACAGCTCTGAGCCTTCAGCGCCAACTGATTGACGCCTCCATCAAGTCCGGGGTCAAGCGATTCATCCCCTCAGAGTTTGGTGGTGACTTGAGCAATGCCAAGAACCGAACTCTGCTCCCGTTCCTCGAGAAGGTCAAAATCCAGGACTACTTGACCGACAAGTCCAAGTCCTCTTCCCTCACATACACCTACATTTACACTGGTGCTTTCTTGGACTGGGGCATCGAAGCCAACTTCCTCCTGGACGTATCAAACTATCAGCCGACGATTTACAACGGCGGGAACCAGGTGTTCAACTCTACATCTCTGGACACTGTTGCCAAGGGCGTGGTCGGCGTGCTGGCCCATCCCGACGAAACCAAGAACAGGGCCGTGTACCTGGGGGACGTCAAGATATCACAGAATGACCTGCTG